TTAATTTAGAGGTCCCTAGTTCAAGTTATGACCATTTAACGGAACTAGCAATTTAAAGGCTAAAGACTTCCAAGTTTGACCATGGGGTTGACTTTTTGATATCGTAGCCGGAATCCGATTCTGAAAAATTGAATAGCTTTATTATGTCATTTAGGACTTGTGTGCCAAATTTGAAGTCATTCCGGATTCATTTAATATTTTTGGCACGAGATTTGCAAATTGAAAAGTTTAAAACTCAAAGTTCGAATCGGGGTGTGAATTACAATTTCGATGTTATTTGACGTGATTTTAGACCCCGAGTAAGTCTGTATTATGTTACGGGACTTGTTGGTATATTCGTACGGGGTCCCGAGTATCCCGAGTGTGATTTGAATCGAAATCGGAACAAGAATTGGATTTAAGAAAAATCTGAAATTTTGCCTTCTGTTGTAATCGCACCTGCGGATTTTTTACCGCAGGTGCGATCTCGCAAAAGCGAGCCTCCCATCGCAGAAGCGGCCTGGGCAGGCTGGGCAAAGGTTCGCAAGTGCAAAAACTTTTTAATAGATTTTTACACACACTTGCCTGATTATGGATCGATTTTGAACATCCCTAGTCATACTAGTGAATGTATTTTAGATCATTATTACTATATCTTGTCGTCAATGTTCTATTAATTGCAGAGAAGCCCCTAGATTCTTGGTAACCTGTCTTGCAAATAGTCCAGCATGTTCTTCATGTCTATGATCCAGCAGAAAGGCAGAAGAAAGGCTGAAAGTTTTCTGGGAAAAAACTGGAAAACTCCAAAGTATACTCCACGAGCCATTGCATCAATAGCATTTGTCGACAAACTTTACTCCATGCATTCCCATGTATAATACAGAATAACGAACAAGACAGCGAACATCGAACATCGATGGCAAACATCAAACAAAGTGAAATCTCATGGTTTCTAACACAAAATCAAAATCTAACAAATAAATCCCCCAATTTCGCAAACTAAAAATCACAAAATATATCGTATAATACAAACAAAACAAAAGCAAAATAATGGGTTTATCAGAAATATTATCAAAGAAAGAAAATAAAAGGAGCAATGACATAATTTTTCAGACTACGGAAGAAGAAAGCGAAAATGGAACAGTGATAGCAAACATCGAACACAGTAAAAAACCGAAAGCTTAACCCGGAGATTGTGGTATGTTAGCCTGTAATGGTCGTCCTTCACTGGAAGTTCTCGTCCTTCACCGGAGCTGGTCGACAGAGTTCGTCGGTGTGTTCTAGGTTGATGAACAGAGAGAGACGGGTGTTTGAGATTTTGGGGGAGTCGCTAGCTGATGAAGTCGATGTGTTCTAGGTTACTTTTATATTTTAGAGTTATTAAAATATTAGTGGGGTCCTCTATTTTTTTTTTTAAATACCTAGGAGGGAAAGTAAGGAGAAAAAATTAAACCGTCCCGATAGCCTTTTATTTCACAAAATCGTTCCCACAAACAACCCTATTGTATCGCATATCAAAACCGTCTCCATATCTTTACTTATGGTGATGGTTACTACACTAACGGTTATTCTTCACAAAGTGTTCCAGAAGCCTTTTGACTCTATTGGGACGGTTAAAACCGTTCCAAAATATAATTTACTGTAATAGTTACAGAACCGTTCCCCATAAACCGTTCCAGTAAATATATTTTCTAGTAGTGTATGATCAAATCAGGGACAATCTGAGGTAAAATCATTTTTGATACTCACAATTCTTGGTCTTAAAGTATTATGCTTAGTGAACAATCCAGCATATAAGGAAGATATACAAGTAAATCAGGTAATCAGTTAAGGGATTGGCAAGTAAAGATGAAAGATTTCCGACATCGGATCGGTCCTCAAATTCTTATTTTACATTTTGAAAGGTTTTTACAAAGTTTCTCATTTTCATCCATTCAATTCACTAATTTAATGATATAAAAAAGTATGAAATCATGAAATGTAACCAGCTCTCCCAGAGCTCACATCAATATCAACCGCACGGACAACTCACGAGCTGCACAGACAACTCACGTGTTATAGTACTAATATCTAAATCTGCATGGACAACTCACGTGCTGCACGAATAACTCACGTGCTGCACAGGCAACTCACATGCTATATTATCAATATCTGGATCCGCACGGACAACTCACGTGTCACGTGCTATAATATCAATATCTGAATCCGCACGGACAACTCACGTGTTATAGTATCAATATCTCGATCCACACGGACAACTCACGTGTTGTACGGATAACTCACGTGTTATAGTATCAATCCGCCCGGCGTGGTCACAGGCACAACAGTCCAAATCATATCGCACAGAAGCAAGTATACAAGAACACATGTATATGATGGATAAAATATCAGATTTCATGCTTCTGGACTGGTATAATTACATGCTAAAGTGTAGGCATGTTCAATGTGTGCTATCGTAGCTCAAATCGGTACTTTATCACAAAACTAGCAATTACTAAGTTTTATTCAAGGAATTAGCCTCGTCGTAACCTCAAAGATGACTCAAATAGTTCACAACAATGATACAAATATGAAAAATGTTATAGCTTAAAGCTTAACAGTCAACTCTAGGCATATCATAACCTAAGCACTACCCCGAGCATGGATAAATACCCTAGTGCTCGCACATGGGCTCAAAACCCTCACATATGCGCACCCATAGCGCGTGGCTATCACAAATAATTCAGGCAACTAGTGTCTCAACTAAGTTTAGATAGGATTCTTACCTCAAACAAGTTAAATTCAATACCAAGCAAGCTAACCAATACTCTAGAAATTCCATACCGCGCGCATCAACCTCCGAACGGCTCAAAACTAGCCAAAAGCAACTCAAATACATCAAATAATGCCTAAGAAAACAACTCCAATTGATAATGGTCGAATCTTTAATCAAAATCCCGAAGTCAACCAAAATGTCAAATTTGGGCCCGCACCTCGGAACCCGACGAAACTTACAAAATCCGACAACCCATTCAGTTACGAGTCCAACCATACTAGTTTCACTCAAATCGGACTCCGAATCGATGCTCAAAACTCAAAAATTCACTCTATGAAACTTTAGATAAAAACCCTTAATTTCTCTTTTGAATTCATCCACCAAATGCCAAAAATAAGAATAAATTTATGAAATATAATCAAAACCGAGTTAAGAATGCTTACCCCAATACATGTGGTGAAAAGCACGTCCAACATCGCCCAAATCCGAGCTCCCCAACTCAAAATATGACCAAATGAACAAACCTTTGATATTATATGTTTTTACGAGCTGTTCTGCCTTGTTTCTCATGCCAAACGATCCCGAAACTCGCTTTTGATGCCTCCAATGGATCCTTGTAAAATTTTAGTCAAGTTAGGCTTTTGAATTACTCTATTTGACCTTATAATGAAGGAGATATGTTGGTTTCAATATTTGAAAATAGTGCAGATTTTTAAATACGAATTCAGTGGATATTACGTAATTAATAATCAAAAAAAAAATGTAGTAACCCGATTCTTAGTAAAATGACCATAAATTTCTCATACGATGTTAAAACTTGATGATTCCAGTTGCTATGGTTCCAAAATTACGATACGAATATAATACTTCAATCAAAACAAAAATTGGAGCTCATTTGCTTAATGTAGTACTACTTGTGCTTGAAGAAACAACGTCGAAACATAAAAAACGAGCGCAACACAACCCAAACTTATCTGAATCTCACCCGAGCCACTCGGGACCCCGTCCGAACATATCATCAAGTCCTATAACATAAAACAAACTTACTCGAGGCCTAAAATTACGCATAACAATATCAAAATCACGAATCACACCTCAAATCGAACTTAATGAACTTTGAATCTTTCAATTTCCAAAACTCGTGCCGAACCATATCAAATCAACTCGGAATGAACTCAAATTTTGCACACAAGTCTCAAATGATATAACGAAACTATTTCAATTCCTGGAATCACAATTCAAACTCGATATCATAAAAGTCAACTCCCGGTCAAACTTATGAACATTCCTAACCTTTAAATTTCCAACTTTCGTCAAATAGTGCTGAAACCTTCTAGAAATATCCAAATTCAAATCCAGGCATACGCCCAAGTCCAAAATTACCATCCGGACCTAACGAAACCATCAAAACTACTATCCGAGGTCAAGTACTAAAAAATCCAACTTGGTCAACTCTTCCAACTTAAAGCTTCCTAGTTGAGAATTATTCTTCCAAATTAATTCTGAATAACCTGAAACCAAAACCGACGATTCACACAAATCATAATACATCATATGAAGCTACTCAAGACTTCAAATGGATAAACAGAATGCAAATGCTCAAAACGACCGGTCGAAGTCGTTATAGGGTCGCTTCATATTAAACACATTTATTTGCCTTTTAATACCTTAAAACTAGAACACAAAAGTATTACAACGCAGAAAAATGAGAATCGAAAGTGTTTAAAGTTCTTTAACAATTAGGAGTGATTATTATTCATTAAATTTGAAATCCTTCTTAGCGCAAGGTTGCTTTTAGTAGGGAGTATAAAAAATGAGGACTAATGACACAAATAATTTAGACCAAACTAATAAAGAGATGGTGTTGCAATTTTATTTTCGTAGTTCAATTAGGTATATCTTTCCCAATTCATTCGTGAATAATAATTTCAGGATGTGAATTTAACGTTTATATATAACGTAATATACAATGAAATAAGTTTTACACTATTGAATTACTAAATCGTTCAATAATAATCCGGAAAATAAGATGTACCTACTAACATAACAATAAAATATGTTGATAGTCTAACATTTTATATATTGTGTATATGAATTAAAACCGTTTTGTTAATATTTTTAAAAAGGAAAAGGAAAAATAAAAGGCAAGAGAAAGAGTGGAAACAAATAAACCCAAGATATATTGTACAATAATTTATTATGGAGAAATTTGATACCTAACAGGTGGAACATCATATATAAATTTTCATGCAATTACTCATCTTTTGAACCTTATAAGTATCCCCATACATCAACCTCCACGAGTCCGAAGCACCGAATTCTCTTTTGTCCTCCAATGGAGGGCTCCTCTAAGCAACCCCTTCTTTCGCCTAAAGACCCTCAAATCACCGACCAAGCTAGTGATAATTATCTTATCAGATTATCACATACTTCTTTTGCTTCTTCCTTTGTTGCTGATTCCGATGATATTCCCCCGATTACTGGATTCCGAGATTTCTTCAGAGAGTTTTCTGTTGAATCTAAGAAATTATGGTACCTTGCGGGTCCAGCAATATTTACTTCCCTTTGTCAATACTCTCTTGGTGCTGTCACTCAAACTTTTGCTGGACATGTCGGGACTCTTGAGCTTGCTGCCGTTTCTGTTGAAAACTCGGTCATCGCCGGTTTCTCTTTTGGTGTCATGGTAAAAAAAAAGTTTATTCTAGGGACTTGTTCTCTGCTCTCTTTTTTTTTCTTCACATGGTTTACAAACAGGGCAACAATGACTATGAGACCTCGTGTACTGCAATTTGTTTTTACATCTCTGAGTTATTACCTGAGAGGGGAAAACTTGACTATAAAGCTTATCTCTAAAGATCTCTCAGTGTCTTACTTGACAAGTGTCAATGTCAATTGAGGGAATGAGTTGTTAGCTATTAGATGTAATTCTTATCTCATTATTGAGCTAATTTTCATTATTCAGTTCGGCATGATGACCTTTTTCTTGACATGATATCAGAGACCTATTCGCATTCTTAGTTCACTCAATATTGAGTTGTGTTATATATACTCCCCGCACCAAATGTTCAATCCTAAGCATGCAAGTGTTAAGTGTTCGACATTGGTTGAGGGGACGAGAAAATATGATTTCGGGCTAATCGTTACTCTATGAATTAACTTTTACCATTGAGTTGGACTCATAATTTATTTTCTTCACAATTATAGAGCTAAACATTGCACGTACTAGAGCAACATTTATTTAGAATTTAATGGCAGCAATATTTTCCTTCAGAACCCCCAACCGGAAAGGAATATACAACCATGTTCTTGATTTAATTATAAATGTTTTGATCTTAATTTGTTTGAATTTTGAATTGATGGTCATTTTTTTTTCTTTTGTTTGGACAGTTGGGAATGGGAAGTGCGTTAGAAACACTATGCGGACAAGCATTTGGAGCAGGACAAATTGATATGCTAGGAGTATACATGCAAAGATCATGGGTTATTCTCAATACAACAGCAGTAATTCTAATGTTACTTTACATTTTCGCGGCACCATTTCTGAGATTAATTGGACAAACAGAGGACATATCACGGGAAGCAGGGAAAATGGCTTTATATATGATTCCTCAACTTTATGCATATGCCATGAATTTTCCAATCGCCAAGTTCTTGCAGGTATGTGTGGAGTGGGGATTCAATTTGATGGTTTAATTTTTAAGTTCTTGTTATTGAACTTATTATACTTTTAAAATTATGAGTTCAAAATTTAATATTTATTTAAAATTTTAGTATTTTTTCACACATATATTTATGCCTGTGATCCGAAAATCTACTATACAGTCACAGAGCAAAATTATGGTCATGGCGTGGATTGCAGCAATAGCGTTGGTATTGCATACTTTTTTCAGCTGGTTATTTATGCTAAAACTTGGGTGGGGGCTCGTCGGCGCCGCGGTGGTGCTGAACTCATCGTGGTGGTTCATAGTGGTGGCGCAGCTGCTATATATATTTAGTGGGACTTGCGGACAAGCTTGGTCAGGTTTCTCATGGAAGGCTTTCCATAATCTATGGGGCTTTGTTAGATTATCTCTTGCGTCAGCTGTCATGCTATGGTCAGGTTTCTTTGTTTTTATTGCGAACAACTTTTAGTGGTGCCTAATTTTCGGTTTTATTATATTTGGAATAGGATTTTCTTTTATTCATCCACCCAATAAAAGAAAATTTATTTAATTTTAACATGTCTCAATAATTATGGCTAGTTACCTTTAGTTACTAGTAAGATGACCTCATAGTATAGTCATTTACTTAAAGAAATTAAAGCCTGCTATTTTTAGTTTAGCTAGTTAGGTAAACGGCTATTTAAATTAATTTTTCTTCAAGAAAACCATTTCTCCGAAATTGCATCTATAAATATATGGCCTTGAACCAACTGCAAGTTTCTTAAAGAAAATTCTACTGCATGTTTAAGTTTTCTTATGCTAAATAGTCTACCGAAACTAAGCTAACTTTACATGAAATACCCTTCTGAAAGAGAAGGTTACCATCCATATATAGTTGACACGTATATAAATCAGCCTCCAAACACAAGGTACGCCAAAAGGTCACCATCAACACGTTACAAAATATACTAAGAGCTGATCATATTCGAAACATACAGTAGTTACCTATTAAGCTTTTGGTCTAAGTTTTCAGCTAAGGGAGCTTAATTTAATGGAAAGATAGTTTTACCTTTTAAATTTGTGGTCCTCTTGTTTCTGATCACTATGTTTTTCTTGGTCTGATTTTTGGCTTCTAATTAATATTCAGCCTGGAAACTTGGTACTTTATGGCGTTGGTCCTCTTCGCTGGTTATTTAAAGAACGCAGAAGTCGCTGTTGATGCCCTGTCCATTTGGTAAGTGTCGAATTGCTCTCTTGATGCTTATTGTCTGGCCGTATTTCGGACCCTTTAAACTCTTTATAATCTACAATACTTATCTAATTTGTCGTCATATATTTATTTGCCTTTTCTATTGTTGTTTATATTGTTCTACTTTGGTTGCTGTGTATATTAGACTATAAAAACTTATAGATGGGGTGGCTTGACTAAGAATAGTTTGAGACGACGGTCCCTCACTTATCCTTTCCTTTGGAGTTGGTGGAAAGTAATTAGAGACAAAAATCTTGTAAAGCTCATACACTACTAGTGGGAGTAATTTAAGGGTTTGCCAAGATAATACTGTTTTAGCAAAGAATTAATAATATATATAATTTATGTCATTTTCAACAGAGTCTGCGTTATACTGCTAATGTTTAGATATAAAAATAAACTTTGACACGGCAGAGAGAAGAAGTGGAATCCACCGTTGCCAATCTTATCTTGTTAGAGCCACTTGGATGAAGTTAAAATGCCAATATATATTCAGAGATTATTGCTCCATTGCTTGCATTATTACAAGTATTATACTTCTGGAACGATAATTGGACAAACTTAAATCAACTAGTAGTATAAGAAAAAACTATCATTATTTGGAAAGGGCCTCCCTTCTGGAACACCCTAGTGAAATAATGGAAGGGAATGATTCCGCCAAGATTAGCGGAGAGAAAGCTAACTTTAGGCGTGTTTCATGAGATGATATCAATGATTTATTTTCAATCCAAGAATAGACTATTGACATTTTAATACCTTTGTAATTTGGGATTAGTAAGAGCCCGTTTGGAATAGCTGATTGTAAATAGCTGATAAGCTTGAAGTGCTGAAAAGTATTTTTTTAAGTACTGAAACTGATTTTTTAAGTAAACATTTACGTGTTTGGATAGACGTGCTGAAACTGATAATAATCAGTTGATATGTTTGGTAGAAAAATGTTGATAAGTTGTTCTCTTGTTAAAAAGACTAAAATACCCTTAAATATTTTATAAAAAATTATGAATTAAAAAGTTTCTTTGTAGAGAAAATGATAAACAACGAATATGGAATGAAGAGAAAATTAAAAAAATTATTTTGGAAAAAATATTTTGTAAATTAAAAAATATTATTGAGAATAAACTAGTAAAAGTTTTGGTCAAACTAAAAGTGTTTTGTAAGCTGAAAAGTCATAAGTTGGGGGCGAATAACTTATGGCTTATGACTGATTTTAACTTATAAGCACTTGACTTATAAGCACTTTGGATGTTTACCAAACGCGTAGAGAAGCCAAAACGTGCTTATAAGCCAATTTGACTGGCTTATAAGCTTAGAACACCCTCTAAGTCTCTAGAAGCAAATATTATTACTATTACACCTCCTTTTTCTGAGAGATAGGGGAGTTTTTCCAATTAGAGTGACATTATTCGAAATGAGATTATTTATTTAACTAGAGTCGCCACTTGGGATAATTGTTATGGTGTCCCAAGTCACCGGTTCATTTTAAATCTCAAATTGAGGAAATTGACACTATTTATGGTCCGCGAACACAGAAGACCGGATAAGGAATTATGTTAACCCGGGAGAAGGTGTGAGGCACTCCCGAATTCCGTGGTTTTAGCACGGTCGCTTTAATCATACCTAGCTTAATTAATAATTATGTATTTTTAGAACCTACGTGTGTTTTACTTTTTTACCGCTTTTAATTATGGTTATGGATTATCTTGAAATGAACCACGTGTGTGTGATTCCGTTTTATTTAGTGCGCTAAAAATCATATCACACGTACGTGTACACCATTAATAGCACTTAATTAATATTAAGACTGTTTTGTCCAAAATTACGCGAACGCATACCTTGGTTTTAAGTTTGGAAGTCATAATTAAGTCACGCGAACGTATACATAATCACGATAATTTGATTAATTAAGAGCGTGCCTAAAAGCATACTAACATATTCATGGATTATTTTTCCTACTTTGAGAGTATTGTGAGGTCATGAATTATGGATATGGAGTTGTGGAGGAAATGGCATATGAGTTCAACACATTCTTAATAAGTTGACAACATTGTTACTCTTATTGGATTAGATCAAACAAAAATCAACCATTAGGCATATCATGTCAAATTAAAACTTCACAGGCCCAAATTCGTTTTCTTAAAATCAACTTGACGGCCCCAAAAATATCACCCAATCAACTTTTAACATAATAATGAAATACAAGAAAATCCAACAATGGATATCTAAACCCAAGCTCGAAGAAGACGCTTTGACTTAATGTACAAGCATATGCATAACAATTACCGTGACCTCATGTGAAAATTTCTTATCAAGAGAATCAGTGAGGCAATATTAAGCAAAGAAACATTAAACATTCAAAATAATCAATTCAAAACACTTAAATCAATAACATAAGGGCCATCGTTCATATATTTAAAAAGCATGAAGTTAACCAAGGAATTGAAACAGCAAGGAAAGAAAGGGATTGCACCTTAAGGATCGAAACTTTTTATTAATTTAAAAGTAAAACTCTAGCCACGTACATAATAGTTAAGATGAATCGGCAACTAAACTCAACCAAACGACCATGATCGCGCCGGAGAAAACTCGAACAGAATCTCTCGGAATTGCAAACAGACAGCTCGTCGACTTTTGATGGAGGCTTCAAGGAGTTGTTTCGGTGAGTTTCATGATGGTTTCATGGCTGCTTTCGGTTGTCAAGGGACTGGTGTGATATGGTGTGGGTTTTTGACGAAGAAAGCGTGAAGAGGGAGATCCAATTTTGCTTTACGGCGCTCAATTCTAGGAATGCTCTTAGGGTTCCTCTATTCTATGACTGAGTGAGGTTATATATGGGTACATGTGCATGTTTGAAGCCTAAGAAAATCAGTGTGTTATTGAGATCACGTGAGAGAGATTGCATTTCCTGCCAATTAGCATGTGCTCTCTAGATAGATAAGGACGAGTGATCTTGGAGAGCAAGCTAGCTGGGAATTTTTGTGAGAGAATATTCTTGGGGAATCAAAGTTTGTTAGCTGAGGTGATGTGGATAAAAATTGGTACGAAAATGTATGCTTGTAAGGTGCTTGTGAAAGATGGAATGAGTGGAGTCCTTTTATGGAATTGGCATAGTGCAGGTGAGGTATTAAATAAAAATTCTAGTGCAAAGTGGGTGCGTGTGAGTTAACGTAAATAATTTCTTTTTCAGGAAAAGATAAAATTGCAAGAAGTAGAGTTGCTCGCTTACTTATTAAAAGAAAAATATTTTTTTTGTGAATTTTCTTTCTTTTGTAAATTAGAACAAAATTAATACTCTAAAAATGTGAATCTTTTGTTGGTTTTTAATTTTCTTAAACAAAACCTATAAAAGATAAAATAAGTGCTAAAATATGTAGTCTAAACTTAAAATATATTTACATACTAAAAAGTGATGAACTATTCAAATATAGTCAAAAATTAGGTGCTCGCAACTGTCCCTCTTTGCTTGGAACCATGAAGAGTTTTCAGGCAAAGACAAGGTGAGCCATGTGACTAATTTTTGACCAAATCTTTATTCAAAAAGGGAAAATAAATAAAGAAAAGGGTGCAACCGAGTCCTGTTTTGGACAGCCCATATATACTGGGTTATAAGGGAATCAGGTCACGTGTAGTTCAAGAGGAGTAATGGAATGGTGAGTTGCAGAGTCGAGTGAGGTTCTGTTGAGCCTCCGGTCTGTGGTCCTATCACTACATCAAAATCAAAATCAAAAGAAATTAAACAAGCCTATCAGTTTTGAGTGATAAGATTCCTATCTATAAGTCTTCTGAAACTTGATCTTGAGTCTTGACTGGTTCTTCACGCAGACTCAACCTTGATGCTTGCTAGTTGCAGGTGTTAGTTTATTCTTCTATGACTTCTTCCGATCAAAACTGGAAATGCATTGCTTCAGTCATGTCTTGTGCACTTCACATCTTTTTATCTGCTTCTGCATTTTGGATTCACTTCTTCTCTTTTTTTTTCTTTTATTCTGGATTGAGACTTCTTTTTTTGGTCATCTCGAACCCTATGCCTCAAGGTAAAACCTGCTCAGACACCAAAACAAAACAAACGAACGAAATTTTTCTGCCCCAATTTTCACTAGGAAAATTTCGTGAGTTATTTGTAACAAAGCTCTATACTACTTCATTTATTGAAAACAATAAAAGGTCGGGACTAATGTACCCTGGGAAAAATGTGATTTTGTTTTTGGGAGTGGTGTACCCTGATTGTCTAAATGATGTCTTAACTAAGGATTGGTGTACCCTAAGTTAGAAACACATCTAGGGATTGGTGCTCCCTATATGTCTAAAATAAAATCAATTAGGGAGTGGAGACTCTATGTTGGAAAATGCAGCTAGGGAGTGGAGACCCTATGCTACCATGATTTTGAACTTTTTTTTATTATATA